TCATATAAAATGCAAATCATTTGGAGTTACTGAACCTCTGCGTGGTTGCTTTTGGGACTGTGTGCCTTCTGCTTACATCTCCAAAGTATCTGAGCCAACATCTCGCCATCCTTGTTCAGAAGGAGCATTCGGACTGTACTACTTCCAGAACAGATTTATTTGTTCTTTTGGCAGTCCATAGTACTTCTAATATTCTTCTCCAGCACCACAATTCAAATGCATTGATTCTTCCTGTCTACCTTATTCAATTTCCAACTTTCACTTGCATATGAAGCAAACGAAAATGCCAAGGTTTGAATTAGGTGCACCTTAGTCCTCAAAGTGATATCCATGCTTTTCAATACTTATCAGAAGTCTTGTATAGCAGATTTATCCAAAACATTGTGTCATTTGATCCAGTAACTGCTGTTTCCATGAGCATCGATTGTGGACATAAACAAGATGAAATATTTGACAACTTTAATCTTTTTTTTCATATATCATGATGTTACCTACTGGTCCAGTTGTGAGGACTTTTGTTTTCTTTACATTGAGTTGTAATTAATAGCGATGGCAGTGATCCTTAACCTTTATCAGCAAGTGCTTTAAGTCCTTTTTACTTTTAAGCAGGTGTGATTATATAATCTGCATATTGCAGATCTTCTTCCAATTCTGATACCACGTTATCTTCATTCTACGTTCTCAGATTATTTGCTAATTATACAGAAAGAAAGAGGATGATGAGAAGATACAGGCAAATTGCACACCTTTTGGATCTTAAACCCTTGTTCTGTTCACACAACAGTTTCTTGATCCATGTACACGTTCAGCAAGAGCACAAAGAAGTGACTGGGAAGTCTCATTCTTCTAAAAAATACTCAAAGTTTGTCACAGCCCACACAGTTGAATATCTTTGCATAGTCAATAAATACAAGCAAACATATTTCTGATATTCTCTGCATTCAGCCAAAATCTATCTGCTATCAACAATGTTATCCCTCATTCCAGTCTTCCTCTGAATCTAGCCTGAATTTCTGGACAAGATACTCCAACATTTGTTGAGTGATCTTCAGCTTGGCTTTAAATCGTCAGTGCAGCTTGGACTCCATCCTTCAGTATGACTGTTTCTTGATTCTATCTAACTGTCAAAGTGGTGGAATGTTGATCAGTTATTTTTGTTATGTTTGAGCCCATTGTGGCAGGCACTGTGTCAACCCATCTTTTTTGCTTCCCCTCTGTTTTACAAAGATGCAAAGTCCTCTTCATCTTGGGAAATGATAATGTTCTTTTCTTTTCTTTTTTTATTTATTTTTAAAAAAATCAATTTATTGGGGCTCATACAATTCATCACAATACATAGATCAATTGTGTAAAGCACATCTATACATTTGTTGCCCTCATTATTCCCAAAATTCGCTTTCCTCTTGGGTTCCCGGAATCAGCTCATTTTCCTTTTTTCCCCTCCCCTCCCTTCCTCCTCCCCTCTCCCCCATGCACCCTTGATAATTTATAAATTATTATTGTAATTATATTACACTGTCTGGATAATGTTCTTTTCAAAAGACTTAGCATCAGAGCAGCAAGATGGGCACCAGAAACCAGATACAGCGACATCTTCTTTTGATGCTTGCTGTGTCGTTCAATATTTTGCCAATGGAAACTTTCAATATTGCAGCTAAAGCCAGTATTTTTTTTTTAATCCTTCCAGCTTAAGATATTCTGTGTGTGCTTTTTTAAATTTTTTAACTCATTTCATTATAAGATTTTATTATGTCTTCGAAAGCTGTAATTAGAAATTTTGTGTGTGTGTTTTTGTTTAACTTCATTATTTCTTCCATTTGTCTTAGCTATTATTTGTTTAAGAGCAAGTTTCAGAGTCTCTTCTAATATCCCCTTTGATTTTTTTCCCCCTTTGATGCCTAATGACTTTTTTCTTTCTTTATATTTTATGTTCTTGATGTCATCCCACGGTTCATCAGTTCTTCTGTTTTTAGTGTTCAAGGAATCAAGTCTGTTCCTGAGATGGTCTAATAATTTAGGTGGAGTATATTCAAAGTCATATTTTAGCTCTCATAAGCTTGTTTTCATTTTCTTTAGCTTTATGAGTTTACATATGATAACTTGATAGTCTATTCCATAGTTCGCTCCTGACCCCTTTTTAGCTGCTGATGTTGTGCTTCTCCATTGTATCTTCCCACAGATGTAGTCCATTTGACTTCTGTGCAGTTGATTTGATTCCATCTGGAGAAGTCCAAGTGTAACTTGTATAAGTTGTCTTTTGTTGTTGAAAAAAGGTTTGTGATGAAGAAGATGTTGGCCTTGAACATCCTTCTAAGCCACCTCCAGCTTCATTTCTGTACTCAGGCCATATTTTCCAAATACCATTAGTTCCTCTTTGTTTTTATTTCTGCATTCTAATTGCCCATAATCATCAACACATTTTGATGCATGTTTGATCCATTTCAAACTGAAGACATTGGTAAAATTCTTCAATTTCTTCATCACTGGCTTAGTGTTTGGTACATAAATTTAAATAGTAGTGGTATGTATTGACTGGATTGTCTTATATGTGGATAGATAAGATCTTATCACAAAGTGTTGCACTTCAAGATAAATCTTAAGAAGTCCTTCCTGATGAAGAATGGACACCATACCTCTTGAATTTGTTCTTCCTTCCACTGTAAACCATAAACTGCTTTATTCAAAATTGCCACTACCGGTACATTTCAACTCACTAACACATAAGATGGTGATCTTTAGATGTTCATTTCTCCAGGATTTCCAATTTCCCTAGATTCATACTTAGTAAATCCCAAATTCCAATTATGAACAGATGTTTTTTTCTCATTTAAAATTGTATCCCATCAGCAAATGTAGATCCCAAAGGCTTTGCTTCCTGTGATAGTTACATAATTGGTTATCATTTTGAGACTTAAGAGTGAAAGGGGTGGAGTTTAGCCTGTCAATCAGGTCTCAGCTTGATGACCTCCTTTGGGGGCACTAAGGAGATGAATAACTATCCGGAGGTGGGACACAGGCTCACTTGCTGTGAGACATTATTGACAATGAACCTGGTAGAGCTACGTTGATGCAGCCAGTGCTCTGGAGATGGAGGAACCACTTGGAGAACCCTGACAATGATGAGATGCTTACACCACCACTGGATCCACAAGACTTTACACCCACTGGCCTGTGATCTTCCTGCATTCAGTGTCATTGCATGTGTTGTGTGAGTCAAAAGAGAAATTTATAAATTGGTATCAGACATATGGACTAATATTGGACTTATGGACTTGATTTGGACAGGGCTGGAATGCTTTCTCAATATTCAATTGCTCTTGTATATAAAGCTCTTTTTTATACACATATGAGTGTCTATGAATTTGTTTCTCTAGTCTCCCCAGACTAACATACTTCTGAAGACTTTACTCCATCCATGTCTTCATAGTCTACCTTCCCTTGAGAAAGCAGGTCTTCTTCAGCCATATGTTGAGAGCCTTTTGAACTCAGATGCTCATCATCTGGCTCTGTATTTGGCAAATTCCTGCTGCTAGTCATGAAATTTTCAGAATCTACTATGTTACATTGCTATCCACAAAGTTAGTAGTGGCTAATTCCACAGAAGTAGACATTCTATTGCTTCTTTGTTATCTGTTCTTAGTTGGGAAGCTCCGATGAAACCTGTTCACTTTGGATGACTATTTGAAATACCAGTGACCTAGCTTCCAGCATCACAGCATTGCATAACTCATCACAGTATGGCAAGATGACAGGTAAGTCATGGTATAAAGGCATGCAGCCTTGGTGGACCCCCACTCTGTCCTATAGGGCTGCTGAGAGTCAGAATTGACTCAATGGAAGTGTTAGTTGTTATTGTTGTTTTAATTTTATGTGAGGACCTGAAAATTTTGAAATTGTGGTAATTTATTATGCTATTTAAAATACATGATTTTGTGATAATTTTTAGACTATGCTGAAAAGATAAGCTAAATTTTCATTATTTCACTTGTATGCATCCTACTAAAAATACTGTTTATTTCAATATTTCTTTTATTTTTAGTTTTGCAATAAACTTACATAGAAAAGAATACAGTCTCCTAGGAGACAAGTATTTGATCTCTTAAAAGACATTTCAGATGTTATAAAATATTTTATTACCTTTAAGATATCAAAAGTCTTTGTCAAGTTTATGAACTAAAAAAAAAGAAGCCAAGAAAAAGCTTTTAGCAATGCCATGAATAATTTCATATAGCTTTTCGAGCCATAGCCTTTGTATCTCCCACCGAAGGATCCTCATTTTCCTGATAGGTTTCGCTAAGAAAGTAGGAAAAGGTACACATGGGACTGTATGATTCAGCTGTGAGTAATTATTCTTAGAGTTAATTGACATTGCTATCTCACTGAGTATGAAATCAATTATCTCAGAAGTACGTAGGGACTGATAGCACAAGAGAAGATCCAAGAAAGGGCCATGCCTTTTGGATCTAGAGATCCTTGTACCTGAAACTTTCTTGATCCTGGAGACAGCTGTGACACAGGAGCATCTAGGGCTGAATCAGGAACCAGAAATGAGAGTGGTGGAAAGATCCCCTCCCAGACCGCAGAGGAAGTACAGCTAAATGCTTTGGGGCAGGATGGTGGTTGGCTCTGGTTTGTTGGTTTAATCTTTTCAATACAAGATTTCTGAAATCAAACGTCTGCTGTCTATTTCTACACATCTGCTTATGGTGTGGAATAACATTTCTTAATATTATACTCAGCCAAGGTATCACCTAATTTGCATATCGATTGTTCTAGGAAATGCTCTACAAGACTCCAAATAAACTTGATCCTCTCATTTACTAGTCTGTATTATACTGTGTGTACAAATCTTCGACGTCCAATTCTATTATGTTCTCTAGGGTCTTGGTCACCTAGCCCTATGATTATTAAAAGAAAAACAAACCTAAAGTCCTTTTGAATCTTGAATTATATTACATGTCAAATAATATAGCTAGTATACAATTAATACAAGTAATTCCATGGCAGAGCGAAAAAGGTAAGTTTATTTTTTAATAACTGGCAGCATTCTATACACAGAGGAGATGCAGACCAATTTTTGGAAGAAAGAAGTTCATATGTACTTCATATCCTATCTTATGTACTACTCTAATTAAACTCCAGAGGTAACATTTGAAACTGTGGCTGATTAGTTCAACTAACAGTTATGGTTGAGAGGGTTTTATCTGATTCTATAACCTAACATGTGGAGCCTATAAAGAAAAACAGAATTATAAAATGTTTATTACTTCATTCACTTTTTCTTAATTTTCTTCAGTTGTATCTATCATGTTACTATAAATGTAATACCCTTTCTAACATCTATGTGTGAAGCAAGAAAAATAGTTCAGGACCTCTAACAAGTATGAGCACTGGTGGTATAATGGGATCTTGGTGACATTGTGGGTTATGGGTTGGGCTGCTGGGGATGTGCTACAATAAGTGTAGGACCACCATTTGAACCCACCAGGCATTCCTGGAGGTGGGGTTGGGAGAGATTTCAGATCCTGTAAAGTCTTGGAAACACTAAGAGGGGATTTTACTCTGTCTTAGAGCTTTGCTATGCGTTCGAATCTACTCAAGGACAGCATGTGTAGGTGGTGGTCTCGTGTAGAGAAAGGAGCCCTAGAGATGTGAAAGTGATTGTAACTCAGAGGTCAGATGTGCCAGAGTGTTATAAATCCGTGGACAAGAAAAAAGTTCATTTAAACCAGTTAGCATTGCATTGGTTATAACAACGTGTCCATGTAATTAATTTATAATATAAGTATTGATGAAAGTTATTCATAATACATGGAGACAACAGGTAAAAAGATAGGTTTGCCATCTGTAAATCAGGAGGAAAGAGAAGAGAATTTATGTTCCCAGGCTACCTCACCTTTGAGTAAAAGATAGTTAGAAGTGGTAGAATTTGATATATGCAAATGTTATTATAGTCTAATATGATACAGTCTGAGAAAAGAAAATATAGAAAAGAGTCTTGACTGTACCTCCTAAAAATACTTTGTCTCATATAATATTTCAGTGACACCAAAAAGATGGCAATTCAAGACTGTAATTACTCTAGAAAATTTAAGTAAATAACAGATCCACGTCATTAACTGGGAGGATCAGAATACTTCTTGAAATTAATTGTATAAATATGTGGAAATGTTACAGACAATAATAAAGATAAAGGGTATCAGATCATCAGGGGAAAAGTAATTTTTGAATCCCCAGGTCATAAATCATGGGCTAGCCTAGCCTTCTTCACGATCTATGCTCATTAGCTTTACTGTAATGGAGGATGTGTGTTGTCCAGTTGTATTTCATCCTCTGCTTTTTACACCACCATCTAACTTGTCCTCGGGTCC